GGTCCAGGGGGGAGGGGGGGGGCAAGTCTGAACAAGGGAGTTTATCCAATGTGGGATATGGAGGGGGACTGCTCGAAAAGGGAAGCCTCGCTTGCAGCCTGCAGGATCTGCCCGGGCTGATGCTGATGCAGTATAGCCGGGTTTGGATGGATGGATGGATGGGCAGAGGCAGAGGGGAATCAAGGAGAGATTGCGTGCGATGCGAACGTCGAATGAGCGAGACGGTGAGCGGCTGGTGTTGGTAACGCGGGGAGGATGTCGAGATACTGTACACTACAGTTGTATACTACAGTCCTCCTTGGCCAAGTTGGAGTTGCCGTGGAAAGGGGTTGGGAACAATGGAACTGCGGTGTAGAGATGCAGTAGCGAACGTGGTGAACGGGCCTGGTGATGGGGGCAACGTCTGAGAAATGTGTGATGGATGAGCGGATCCAGCTGATTTTTTCCCTCGACGCTTTTCTGGGGACGCACAGACGAGAAATCAAGGGTCTCTCGGGTTCGTCTGGTGGTGAGTGGTGGTGCTGTCAAAAAGATGGGCGTGACAGATTACAGTTGCCCGTTGTTTCCTGATTTGTTTCGCGATGACCGAGCAGCGTGATGGAGGATGGAGGATGTATGATGTACGAAGTACTCCTGAGGGGAATGTGATGGGCTCGAGTTGCTGCAACTGACGGTGTGGTGTGGTGTGACGGGGTCGAAAATCCAAGTACCGACAGCCAGGCCGGATGAGAAGTTTTGGATGGGAAAGGGAAAAGAGAATGTTGTATAAAGCCCGAGAAGGAGTGTTGATGATCGGGTAGGAAGAAGCACCTGCAGGTGGTGGAAGAGGATGGGAGGATGATGAGCACGTCAAAAAGGGGCCGAATGAAAATGGAAAAGGAATACGATGAAGGTCGCTTGTTGATCTGAATGGCACCCTTCTCAACTGCGGAAGGAGGAGATATATGAACCTTGGTGTAGTAGCAGGGTCATGTATGAATGTCTTTTCCTAGCAACAATCACATCCAATGCCCTTGGGGTTACCAATACCAGTGCAGAGTCCCGCGCGAAGTTGAGTAAGTTGGATGGATCCCTTGGGCGGCCTCTGAGTGGTGGGTGCCCGTGGCCAGAGGTTAGAGGAGGATTGCAGGAGTTTGATTTCTCGCTCTTACTGCTGCTGCTGCTACGGCTGCTCCCTCTTGTGCCTCTCGCCTCTCACAGTCCCTTCCCACGCAATTATTTCGAGGGCAGTAAGGAAGCGGAGGACTGGCTGCGTGTTGGTTGGCCCGGCTAGCTCCCTCACCAACACTTGGTCTCCACAGGCGCTGGCTGCTGTACTGGTCGTTTCAGCCAAAGGCAAGCGAGTCATCCAATGATTGGACGACAACCGCCCTAACTAACGGATGTATTTCTAGAGGATTTTCAGATCCTCCGGTGGTCTCTACTCCAGTCAGCCGCCCTAGAGTGGATCCGTGGGGACTTTGGGAGCCTTGTTTCGCGTGGCTCCTCGTTACTTTCTCCTCCAATAAATGGTAATAGATGGCGGTATTGTACTTGTAGAAGTATTGGGCACCACAGCTGCAAGGCGGTCAAGTAGAACTTTGAAACCACGACACCGCGGGAGGGAATTGTATGGGGATGGTCCAAAGGGGAAAGTACGGCAGGGCAGGTACTCGGTACACGTTGGAATGTATGCAATATGCAATATGTAGGTACCAGTCTGATTCTTTTAAAAAAAGGCTTAGGGTTAATTTGGTTGGATGATATTTTCTTGGATGCAGAATTATTGGAAAAGGGCAACTGCGGTAAGCACGGGTTTATCTACTGTATGCACATTGAAGGGCTAGCAAGGAGGTTGGAATTGGTGGCCGTTGTGCCAGATTCTTCCTGAATCATTCATATGCAAAGGTGGCTAGGCGGTGTGTATTGCGTATGTGGAAGGGTGAAGCGAAGGAACCTCCAACGGTCATCCTCACCACCACGCACCACTACGGAGCCGTAAGGTCTTGATGGAAAAGTCTTGAATGCTTACACCTTGTCACATTATTTCCATCAGAACCTCTGTGTGGCTATATCCAATCGAATGCTGATCTACGGCATTTGTATTTCTTAAGATGGTAAGTATACCCCCGTGAGGTCTTGGTGTTGTCATCCAGTCATCCTCATGCGTGGGTCGAGATGGCTGGCCAGCCAGCTGACAGTACACCAGTATTTTGCATGTTGATTTTGGAGGCGCAATGAATGGGCAATCGTCACGACCACACCGCATAGGTGTGATGATTGGTAGCGTGTCAAGAGGGTAACATCCATCTTCGTCTCCACTGGTGGCAGTTTGTTGGCATCGTCTGAAGACCAGGAACCTGAGAATTACTTGGTATACGGTATTTACAGTGACAATTTACAGGCCTTTGCATCCGAATGCGATGCGATGCAGATGCTGCGCTGCGCTGCGCTGCGCTGCGCACAAAGGTAAAATCCTCGCTCGGGACTGCCTCGGCGTGGCGAGCTTGAACGGCGACGGCGTGAGCGATCGCAAGCTCCCATCTCCAAAAAGCTTGGTGTTGTTACATCCAGCGTTGCCCCACGATGGTAAAGATTTAAGCTGAAGACACCCCCCAGATTGATTTTCATCCCACTTCCAAAACGGCAGGTGCTCTTCTCCTCGTCATCATCTTCGGCAGAATAAGAACAACGCATTAATCGCAGGCAAAGGCAAAATTATTGATGCTGGAATGGAATGTTAAATGCTTAGGGTTGGCGCAGGGTCTTGGGGGATGAGCTGTCACTGGTTGCGAGTGAAACATTCCTACCGTCATTGGGTGTCATTGGCCCAAGTGTGGTGGGGGGGACCCGACCCGTCAGGACCAGACCCGTCAGGACCAACCCTGGCAAGGTGAAGGTTCCAAGGACCAAGAGAAACGAAACAACCATCACCTGCTGCACGACATCCGACTCCCCAGCCAGGCCGGCCACGGTACGAACTCCGTAGAGTTCCTTACAATTAGGGGTCCAGAGTCCAGACACCAAGATTCAGGGAACTCAGCACTCTTTTCAGCACTGAGCAGCCTCGGAAGCATGCACCACAGCAGCAAGGCTTCTGGAATCTGGAAGGTCTCTTCAGACTCTTCCACCACCAGCACAGCACAGCCAAATCAGATGTTAAGCTACCACTGCTGATCTCACTCTAATCTGCCTGCCCTGCGCACCACAACACGACGTCTTTGAGGCTGTACTTGTACGGTATACGACTGTATAGGCTGTATACAGCCATGGGATGGGGTGGTACTCTGCATCTAGGCTCATCTAAAGGCTCCCACCAGCTGAGCAAGCACGAAGGAAAGCAGCTCGTACACCTGATTTCGCACTCCTCGTTTTCACCATTCTGCATAATCAATATTAATGCAAACAATTGCCACCTGAACGACAAACTCTCTCCAAATGAGAAGTTACAATATCGGTACAAGTCTACACTCCAGACTCCTTACCCGGCAGAAGAACTTGAGGGGCAGTGTATAGAGTAAAGTGTGGCGCAATAATTTACGGAGTCATTACCTAACAAGGTAAATCCGCAATCACAGAGGAGCGTGCGTATCTACGGTAATTTACCACTTCCTTATCCCAAACACACCCCTCCATCCTCCCCTCCTCCCCTCCTATCAAGATTATCTCCGATTTCCCCCTCCCTCAAAGATCAATGCCTGCGACGATGAATCAAGAAACAGGAAACCAAAAAAAAAAACTTTCCTTCCGGCGTCTCCTTGTTCACGATAACCACCTTTCCTGCACAACCCACAAAGTCCTGCCCAAATTACATCCATACCTACCGATGGTCCGATGAGTACAGGAAACCATAAACCGAATCTTTCCTAGACAAACCTTCCAGATTTGATTAAATTACAACATACTGTACCCGACATTCTTATCTCACGCAGCACCAAAACCAAACGAAACAAATCCAAATCCAAATCCAAAAACCGAAAACCGAAACCCAAAAATACCTACCACGTGCGCATGCGCGTCTCGCTCACCTCACCTCACCTCATCTATCATCACTACCTTGTATAGAACTCCGCACAGGAAAACACTATAAGCGCCGCGAAGTATGTGCGAAGCGAGGGATGAATCAATTAATCTTACGCCAGCGGTTGCGTGCTCTTACAGTACATTTAGTACATACCCCGCAACATAATCCAACCCTACCTACATAACCTACCAACTCAACACAACCCAACTTCCAAAGTTGGAAGTACAAGTACAATCCGTACTGTAACAAGCCTGCATTTTCAAAACGGTGCGATAGGTAAGTCGGTGGGTGGGTGACACATGTCGTGCTAGGTAGGTTGGCGGCTACACATCGCACCGCGGCTCAAGACGGATTTTGATTTCATTAAGCGCCTTGCCCTGCCTTTTCCATCCTCTCTCTTGTTAAGCGCTACAGCAGCGTAGCGCCTACCCATACATTGTAATGCTTCCTAAGCACGGTATAGTATAGTATATGTAGTACCTCCCACACCAACCCTCACGCACATTTCAAGGTAAAGGGGTGGGACAGTCAATGCTGGACACTGTCACATACATCATATGTGAGAAAAGTCTATATCGGCCAGATATAAGTCTTTGATTCGCTAGTTTAACTAAAAATCAGGGCCAAGATATACTATGACCAGCGACAGTGTCTAGCTTTAACTATCTACCCCCCTTTATATGAGTAAGTAGAAGTAGGTAGTAGTATTTAGCCCCTCGTGCCCTCTAAGACGACAATTTCCAGATTTAAAAAGGGGAAGGGAAGGGAAGGGAAGAAAAGTTAGGGCGGTTCAAATATAATTCTAAAAATCCATTTATCTATTTATCTATCCTCTCCTTCTACAAGACCTTAGTTTTTTCGTTTTTTGTTGACGACGAATGCTATGAGTCTACCTTGTTCCGAACAGTACAGTACTGTGAATCACTACACTACACTACGCCGCGGGAGGATTCTCCTATCGACTTACTTCCTCATTGCATAGGTAATGAATTTCTGTAAGTACTCGAGTACGGTATTGTAAAGCAATATAGTAGTAGTAATGGTACGCCGCGTGAGGATCTTCTCACCCATAGCTCGCTTTATATATACTACGTTTTCCTACCTAGGTAAGTTAAGCCTTCTTTCCCTCCGTCCCTCGTTTACCGGTTTTATCTCCCGTTATTGGTAAGACAAGGGGAGAAAGAATAAGCCACGCTCCTAGCTGCTCAGATTTAGAATTCATAATATGATACAAGTGCTGTACATTATCTATGTGAGTATATATCTATATACTCAGAGAAAGATTTGAAAACGCCCGATATGCCTTCCATACCAATCTCCAATCCCCCTTCCGCAATTCCGGATTGAAGACGTCGAAGTCGTGTTTTTCCAAGTTATTCAACCACATTTGTGTGGAAATAGCTGGCATAAAAACGCCGAAGCCGTTGTGCAAATCTCTGATTTGGCTCTCCTCGGTAGCACTTCGAGTAGAATACCGGTGCCCCTCTTCGCCCTCGTGCTCGAATTCATGGCCGGCATCTTTACCTTGCTGGAGATTCTTGATCATCTCGCGAGCGGTGATGAGATGATCGTTGGCTCTGGTTGCGATGGTGAAAATGGCGTCTTTTAATCCTGCTGCATCGCCGCCGTGCCGGAAAATATCTTCTTCTTTGACTTCTGCTTCGGCCATGATGTCTAAAGGTAAGACCACCGAACCTTGCGTTTGGCCCTTTCCCTTTCCTCCCATTGCGGCGGAGAAGGCTTCATTGTTACTGTGGTGGTTGGGTGGCGGGGGAAATGCTAATAATGGCAACCCTCTGAGGATTGCCACAATACCTGTTGCTTTCCCAATGTGACTGGCGACATGATCGACGGCCATAGATTTTATGGGTACAAAGGCCAGTGTCAAATATGACAAGGTCGAATATGTATCTTCCGCATATGTTTCCAATGCATCCATGGTCGTGTATGGGCGATTATCCATGTATTGTTCCCTTGTATTGATTATCTTCATGAACCACCCTTTCATGAAGTTTGTACTCAGAGACGCATCTCGCGACTGGAGAAGCGTGAGCGCATTGTGCAGGAGTATTGCGACGGGCTCTTTAGGAGGTGTATTGGCAAATGTGCGAGTTATGTTGTCGCGCCAGAATTGCATTCGTAATGCGCCAACGGTGGGATTCGAAATTAGGTCGGGTATTCTAGCAAGCTCGATATTGAGCGCGCGGATGGCTAGGTAGGCATCTCGGGTGGAATGGTGGCCTGGGATGAAAGATTGAAGGGTGTAGGAAGGAGAGTCGAATGTTCTGATGAATTATCAGTATACGGGATGTTGCAATTAAGAAGGGAAAATTGGTATGGGTATAGGTATAGGTACTTTACAAGTTTAGAGCAATATGCTCTTGCCCCGTTGACATCAGCCTCTGTTACTCGAGAAGGGTAGGGTGCTGGGCCACCATAAGGGGTCGTCGCATAGGCGCATCGCAGTAAAGGTTTGCGCTCGATATGCGCTCGCAATCGAATGCTTGCTCTTGTTGAGTACATTCTTTTTGTGAACAATGTAATGATGCTGGTTGGGGGAGCATAGACATTTCAGCAGGGGTGTTCTGAAGCCGATTAAGACGTCACACTTTCCGTGACAGGCTCGCGATGGCCCTAGGCTCCCATTCTTTCTACTTTAACTCAGGTGAATCATGGGAGGAAATTCCTTTGGAATGATTGATTTGATTCTCATAGACATAGAATTGTCAATCGATTAACCCAGTGTCCCAGGTAGAGAATTATGCAGAACAATTGCTTGTTATAAATGATGCAGTTGTTGCGATGACAAGAGCCATTCCCTGCTGCTTTTCTCCTTCCACTTTACGCGACAGCTGCAGGTTCGCGTCTCCCCGAAGCCAAAGCCCACGGGCAACCGCGTTCTTCACATCCAAGTCAACATCGAGTCCATAAACTCCCCAAACACGCCAAAATGAGCTTCATGCAATCCGAAGGGCCTCCTTCGAAGAAGCGACGGTTCTTCGACGAGCAATCCGATGTTCTTGAACCCTCCGTTGATTCTCGCCTACCAAGATCCATACATAATGGAGAGGACGCATCTGCGACACCAGACCCTTCCGAAAACCAGGAATCGAGCGACATGAATGATGTGCAAATGACTGATAGTGGTCCTTCTGCGGGCTTTGACCTGGAGCTATTCGAAAGCTTTGTGGGAAAGAAAGTCAAGCCCGATGTGTTGAAGCAATTGAGGGTGGCGTCTGGGGATGATATGGAAAAAGCTGTGAACATGTTTTTTGATGGATCGTGGAAAACTGCTGCAAAATCCCAAAAACCGACTAGCACGAGCTCAAAACCTTTGACCCTCAATGGTTTCGCAAAACCCGGACCAAGCAGAGAGAAAGCCATCACCCAAAGCCCCAATACCATCCCGGCCGAACCTTCCACGAGAGCATCGATGCCCGAGTTTCGATATGTCGGCGCATTTGGAGTCGGAGGTTGGGCAACGAGAAGTGGCACAAATTTGATCAAACATGGTGAAATAGTGCGAATTGAGCGACAAAAGATACAACCAAAGCCTGTTGCTAAGGGCAGGGGAAGACCTCCAGCAGTAGCGGCACAACCAAAACCAGGAAGTGCTGCAGCAAGACGAGTAGATGTGATAGTCCGTTTCACTGATTCCAGAGGCAGCGAGGTTGGAAGACTTCCCAAAGAAATTGCAGATTGGGTGTCCACGTTGATAGACCAGAATGTTTGCAAATTTGAGGGTACATGTGTATATGCTCCGGAAAGAGTCAGAAGTAACGATACCATCTTTCTCCAATTGAGATGCTCATTACTGAAGACTGCATTTGAAAATGGTGCGTTCAAGGCAGCGGAGGACAGAAAAACAGGCATGTTTGAGGAGAAGGAGAGTTCCGAGGAAAAACAATTGCGGTTACGACAAGTTGCCCTGGTAAAGCTATTTGAAGAAATCAATCTTCTTCCATCGAGATCCTCAGAAACAACCACAAAGCACAAGAGGAAGGGATTGCTTGAAGCCGCGGAGGTTGCGGAACAGTATGAAGACGCAAAGGCCAAAGAGAATAAGGCGGCTGTGGTCGAAAATGGCAGTTCCTCGCCTCCATCGGAAGAGGCAGAAGATGGTAAAGAGCTAGAGCAAGACCAGCTTGATGCTCTTTATAAAAAGGCTCAATCTTTTGATTTTGATGCACCCGCTGCCGAGCCAGCTGAAACTTTTTCAATGGACCTCAGACATTATCAAAAACAGGCACTGCGTTGGATGATGTCGAAGGAGAAGAACGAGAAGGATGAGAACCGGGAAACATCCATGCATCCTCTTTGGGAGGAGTACGTTTGGCCCGTTATGGATTACGACAACAAGGAGGTACCTAAGGTCGAAGGACAGGATAATTTCTATGTCAATCCGTATAGTGGTGAGCTTTCACTCATTTTCCCTGTGCAAGAACAACATTGCCTCGGAGGTATACTGGCAGACGAAATGGGCCTCGGCAAAACAATTGAAATGATGAGCTTGATCCATTCCCATAAATCGGATGTTTGGCAAGGTTTAGGCGAAGGCAATTCAATTGCAATGTCAGTAAATAGACTCCCAAGGCTACCAGTCAAATCTCCAAATGTTGAGCGGGCACCTTGTACAACCTTGGTAGTAGCACCCATGTCGTTGCTGGCGCAGTGGAATAGTGAGGCCGAAAACGCATCGAAAGATGGTACTTTGAGGAGTATGGTTTACTATGGCGCGGAGAAGTCTGCGAATTTGCAGGCTCTGTGTTGTGAAGCAAACGCAGCGTCTGCTCCCAATGTCATAATAACGAGCTACGGCGTTATCCTTTCCGAGTTTAATCAAGTTGCTGCTAAGGGAGGAGATAGAGCAGCACATGGTGGTCTTTTCTCTTTGAAATATTTCCGGGTCATTCTAGACGAAGGTAATATTGACATTCTCCCTCCATGCAAGAGCTCGATGCTAACAAAATTGCAGCTCATCATATCAAGAACAGAACCAGCAAGACTGCCAAAGCTTGTTACGAGCTTGACGCCGAACATCGTTGGGTACTGACTGGTACACCGATCGTCAATAGATTGGAAGATCTCTTCAGTCTGGTCAAATTTCTGAAAGTGGAGCCTTGGAGCAATTTCTCTTTCTGGAAAACATTTATTACAGTGCCATTCGAGTCCAAAGACTTCATGCGTGCTCTCGATGTCGTTCAAACTGTGCTCGAGCCTTTGGTTTTACGGAGAACAAAAGACATGAAAACACCAACTGGAGAAGCACTTGTACCACTTCCACCGAAGACTATGAAAATTATCGATATTGAATTGTCAAAACCAGAACGTGAGGTTTACGATCATATCTTTACTCGTGCAAAGCGGACTTTGGCAGCAAACGTGGAGGCGGGAACTGTCATGAAAGCATATACGAGTATATTCGCCCAAATTCTTCGACTTCGGCAGTCGTGTTGTCACCCTATTCTGACCCGGAATCAAAATATTACTGCAGACGAGGAAGATGCCGCAGAGCTCGCAGATGCTGCTTCCGGCTTGTCAGATGACATGGATCTTCAATCCCTCATTGCAAGGTTTGCAGCTGAGACTGATGACTCGGAAGACTCAAATGCATTTGGTGCTCATGTCTTAGAACAAATTCGCGACGAAGCAGAAAATGAGTGCCCCATTTGCTCCGAAGAGGAAATGGCAGAGCAGGCCGTCACAGGATGCTGGCATTCTGCTTGCAAAAAGTGCCTACTTGATTACATCAAACACCAAACAGACAAGCAAGAGATTCCCCGATGCTTCAGCTGCCGAGAAGTCCTCAATACTCGCGATATCTTCGAGGTCGTAAGGGACGAAGGTCATCCTGACTCCAAGATCAGCCTTCAGCGATTGGGCTCTAATTCCTCTGCAAAGGTTGGAGAATTGCTAAGCAATCTCAAAGCAGTAAGAAAAGAGAATCCGGGTGTGAAGTCTGTCGTTTTCAGTCAATTCACATCCTTCTTGTCCTTGATCGAACCCGCACTCACTCGTGCCGCGATTCCATTCCTTCGTCTCGACGGTTCCATGACCCAAAAGGCACGAGCGGATGTCCTCAAAAAATACGCTGCAAGCCCCAAGGGCATTGTTCTACTCCTCAGTTTGAGAGCTGGTGGTGTCGGACTCAATCTTACGATGGCGAAACGTGTCTACATGATGGATCCATGGTGGAGTTTCGCAGTCGAAGCACAAGCTATTGATCGAGTCCATCGGATGGGGCAGGTTGATGAGGTCAAGGTTTTCCGGTTCATTGTCAAGGAGAGTATTGAGGAGAAGATGTTGAAGATTCAAGACCGAAAGAAGTTTATGTGAGTTCCATGTTCATTTACGTTCCTCTGAAACATGTCAGCTGCTAACAGTTTGAAATAGTGCAAGTTCTTTGGGAATGATGAGTGATGAAGAGAAGAAGCTACAGAGGATTGAGGATATCAAGGAGCTATTAAGTTAAGAATCTTTTGGCAGATTGCCTGTTAAATGCAGATTGCCTCTGCATATTCGCACATTTATATATATACTGTATACCAGGGTTGTACTCACAGGGAGGATTGTAAGTTCAATGTTGCATGAATAGAATTACTCGCTTATTAATCTCTTAAACTCTATGATACAGATACAACTTCATCCTCATGTGATTCACAAGTGCATTTTAGTCCGAATCTTTCTATACTTTTTATTGAATATGGAACATAACAATCTCTGCCTTTTCACTCAGCCATTCATATACAACAAGGCCACAAGTACCTCTCAGCGAGGCTCACTACATGAAATACTTCCCATCCAACTCACAATCCTCACAGAGCAAGCAAAAACCCTCCCTCCATCCAGCATCCTAGTCATGCACAACTCTTCTCCCCTCCATCCACCCTAAGCATCCAAAACCTCCGTACAATGCACCCCAGGCTCACTCAACTTCTTCACAAACGTCAACTTCCCCACAACCTTCTTCCCCAACACCACCCTCTTCTCCCACGCCTCCCTCACCACCCCCATAAAACCATACTGCTGCACCGTCAACACCCCCAGCGTCTCCGTCGCCCTAACCGCCAAATAATCCACCACCCTAAAATCCCCAATCTCATCCCCCCGCTTCGGATGCGGAAACAACAACACAATCAACTCCTCCAACTCCGGGAACAACTTATCAATTTTCTTCCACAAATTATCCGGCACCGTCGGACCCCCCAGAAATCCTACGGTGAGATCATTCCTAGCGGCTCGAAACGCGTCATCGAGCGGTATGGCGAGTCGTCGCACACCGGATGTCGTGAGAGGACAGAAGCGTCGGCGTTCTTGCCGGATGGCTTCGGCGGTTGGGAGGGGGGTGAGGTGGTAGAGGATGTCTCGTGTGCCGGTGAAGTAGAAGCAATAGTCGAGATGTCGGTATAAGGGCCGCTTGATTGGTTTTGCGGTGTGCTTGAGGGCGATATGTCGGGATTCCTGGTTTGCGTGGTAGATTCCTGGGGGTGCTTGACGGCCCCAGCGGATGAGGCGGGGGGTGAGGGATGCGTGTTCCCAGATTTGATAGGGGAGTTCGGGGGGGAGGAGGGGGAAGAGGGTGAAGGACTGGGGGTGTTAGATGGGTTTAGGGGGAGGGGAAGCTACGGACTTTTGTGTTGTTGTTGGTAGTGTTGGCTGTTGATGTCTTGTTTTCTATGACTGGGACGGCGGTCTCTGTCACACTTCCGTTCTTTTCAATATGCCCTGTTCTCGAGATCTTCGTACGTTTCGATCCTCTTTTGTTAGAAATAGCCGAATCAGCACCTCTCTTTTTGGCTCCAGTAGCTTTAACATTGGTAGTAGCATCACCACCGCTCTTGGTCGTATCAACACCTCTCTTGCTAGCACCACCATCACCAACTTTGACCGAAAGCGTCCCCGTAAACTCTCGATCGGTATTAAACGTCTTCGCTGGCATCAGACGACTCGGACCGACGTTTTCATCCTGATACTTGGGTAGCTTTATAGTATTCTTCTTTCGCTTCTTTGGTGGTTCCTGCTCGTTGGGGACTTGTGAGCTGTTGGCATTGGCGTCTCTGCGCCGCTTTGGTGGTTTGGTCATTTTGAAGATTTGAAGAATCGGTTTGGGATAGTGGGGATTGCTTGATAGTTCCTTGGGGGTGGTTCTATGAGGAGAGGTTGGGGATTATGAAGGTGTGGAGAGAGTTGTCGTGAGATTGAGGTTCGTGGCCTTGGACAAGACAAGAGGACGGCAAGATATTATAGGAAATTTGCGCTAGCTTTTGTGGGCTATGGAAAGCGGGGTAAGGGGAGGGTATATGGAGCATGCTGTTGCGGGATAGCAAGGGGGAGGCAGAGGTGAATCTGGTTTGCTATTGTCTCTGTAATTTTATGTTGTCGGATCACGGCTATTATGGAGCAGGGATTTGACAGTACATGATACCTAGACATATTGAGGGCTCAAGAGCGTTAATATTGCGCTCTGGTCTTTTGCAATCCTAGGTATCTTTGGGAATCTAGATAGGGGAAGGCTCGCTAAGCGAGAATTTAATATTGTGTGGAACTGCATCCTAGCCAATAGTAAACTCATCTAACTTCTAATAGAATACGGTCTACTAAAGAGGAAAAATCGTTCTATAGAATCAATTTATAAGGTAGTTATATTTACGGGCTAATTTCGGGTTCTTTTTTTTATATAAAGTGCACTTCGCGATCTAACTCAACTTCCTCACCTAACAACTTTATAACTATGTATATTCTAAACAAACTAAGTAGATGAAATTAATCTTCATCTTCTATTTATTAAGTGTACGAACGTATATCAATTTTATAGCCTACCAGAGTAGGAAATAACGCGAAGTGTTTACCCTAAAACTTAGTAGTGTTTTAGTGATTATGTAATAGCAGTGGCATAGTACTGTAAGTGAGATTCGAGTATATAATCAAGGTAACTTGTATAAGAAAGAGAAGTATGTTGGAAGAGTTCTCCTATCTCTGTCTCACACAACATTTATGGGCAACTCAACTTGCGTAGCATAGGTAACATCGAATCATGTATTAATCGTCTCGCTATCAATTCAGATCTCCTGGCAAACTGCCAGAAGCTTTCGTACTTGCGACATCAGTCAAACAATCGACAGTAAATATCAATGCTAGTTCTAGTGAAACATCTATTGGTGGACTGATGGAGCGTGGAAAAGGGTACGCAAAATATGAACTATTACCATTATCACTTGGTACGAATTCGCAGCAGTAGGAAAAGAATCGGCAGCAGAATAAATAATTTTGGCGAGGGAAGATATCAACGCTCTCAATACCGCGAAAGCAATACAGTACAAGTGATCCGGCAACTTCAGGAATCACTTAAAAACTTCGCTCGCTCGATCTATACACTAGAACCTGAAGAGAAGAAGCTTTGATATGTCACGGCCGGAAGAAATAAAATTTCCACTTATTTTAGGATAAAGCAGGGGATAAAGCTTGCAACTTCTCATTGCAGCTCCCTGAACGTCCCACGTCTGGGTTGAAATAGCCTCATTCTCTCTTGAGCCTCACGTTCGCTCTCCAACTGTGGGAAATAAATGGGTTGTTTCGACGGAAGCTGGTTATGTATTTTCCACAGGATAACTTGGTTGAATTCCGCAGTGTCTATGCCGATCGTCTTCATGAGGATATCTTGAGTTTCGCTTGCCCATTTTGATGCTCTGGAAGTCGGAGATTAGCAGTGGAATTATAATTGTACTATAAGAGTTTTGAGTTGTCTTCGGAAATGAAAACAGCCTAGTATGGAGTTTTGGATCGTATTTTTACTTACAGGTCTCTGTTATTCAGTCGCAGCGCAGACTCAGCAGCCTTCCAGCATGCGAAGGCGAGAGAACCTGGAAGACCTTCATGTTCGGCGGCTATAGCCTTTGTCAATTTCTGGAAGAGTGATTGGAGGGAAGGGAGGTATGTGATAGAACTTACTTTGGATGAATTGATGAATGTCGCTGTTATGTTGGCTCTCATTGAGACTTTGTTGGCGAGCTTGTTCTATAAAAGTTGGAGAAGTCAGTAACAGCAGCTTCTTTAGTTCCGAGGGTGAAGCTAGCAGAGTGGTTATGTGTGACGTTTCTCTGGGGTCTAGTTCCACATATGTTTACTAGGTAAAAAAGTCCCAAAACTTACCTTCTGTTATAGGTGGCGGGCCAGGGTCAAAACGACTGATTGTATCACGAAATTGCTGAAGCCAAGCTCTCAGCATATTACTCGACTGCAGAAATCTCGCAGAGAAGTGTTGGTCGCAGAGCAAGCAACGACACTCGAAATTCCAAATTGCCTTCAACCTTGCATCACGTTGTTCCTTAGGGAGTTCCACATCGATATAATTGATGGTTATTTCCTCCCCTTCCACGATGTCGTGGAGTACTTGAACTGTATAGCAATGGGTCAGCCAGTTCATATTCCCCATAGCGTTGGGAAGACAAGAATGATTGATGCGAGCGACGGTGGTGCATAGAATTCTTCCTCGGTCGGTATCCATAGCATTTTGATCAAAGATCAACGAGAGAGGTGTCGCGATTCCCGAATCGGAAAAATCGAAATGAAGATCCATGACTGCGGCTTTGCGGTTGGCAGGGAGCGATTCAAAGGCAACTTTGACGTTGGCCGTGCTCAGATATTTCTTCCTCAGGTCGATGGTAGGAACTTCGCAGATGATGCGAGTGAACTTTGGGATATCCTGGTTGGCAAAGACACCTTTGTCGGTTCTTCCTGTATCTCCCAGTCTGATGTAATTTCGTTGAGCCGCTTCAAGTCTGTTGAATTCCTGCCAGGAAGGCATGTTTTTGCGACCTCTCCCCATCTTTTCTGGCATTTCTAGGAAATCTTTGGTTGACGGATTGAAGTCCTGGTTGAAGGGGCTTGGGGTAAAGCTTTTCGTTCTTGATGGTACGTGGCAGTGCGAGAACTTGACTCAATCAAAGGATATGGCGCTTTGTGGTTCCTGGCAAAAGGTGAAGCCGAGTTGCTGAATACGTGATTCTTGTTCCAGATGAGTGTGCGGAATTCAGGTACCACCGGAAAATCTCATATCCATTAGAATAGTAGGACTGTGGCTGAGATCTTTCAGTGGCAACTCGCTATTCGTGTCATACCGTGAGGGGATCAAAATCTGTGCTGACGCCTCAAGTTGTTGACGTTGATGTTGCAGCCTCAAAAAGTGAGATTAGACGAAGAGTGGTGCATGTCGCAATATTACATGAGACTCATTGGCTATTTGCCCCAAAAGCTACCATAAATTCACTGCAAGTGAGGCAGTGACCCCCTGAAGTTGTACTTTGTAGCTACCGACTGCACCGACTCATCCGACAGAAGAATGAACTATCTTCAGCTTGCGATATTCTTTCTCAACGACTTGTTTCCCAGATAGTGCGAACATGCCGCGAGCCCCTGGCTACCAGCAATTACACGCTGAATACACGAAGAGAGGTGGAGCGAGACCTTGAGAAGCTAGCAGATTACGCCTTCAGAGCTTTTCAACGACCGTCACTTGAGTCCAGAGTTGCTACGTCTCTTCAACACTTACTCCGTGGGCCACTTGAGTCCTCCATTCGGAGGACAATTCGGCAAGAGTTCGACAATCAAAGATCGCCAGCCAGGTCCTACATGGGACCAAGTTCCCCGAGAGAACATTGCCAGAATCGGCCGAGCCCGTATACTACACCCACTACTAGCCCGAGACGGCGATCAGCTAGACCCTCTCCGCAACCTCCACACAGCCGAGCCTGGCCTCATACCGTTGATGGCCCTGTATCTTACGTAAATGCGTATCGAGAGTTTGGCTAGACGTTTAAACTTCTTGTGTCAAGTTCTTCAATTTCTCGGACACGGTACCACAACACGAGCACTCCATAGGCTGTATCCCGTCCCTCCCTGCAGAGCACTGGTAGACGCTGTTTCATTCTAGGACCACACGCCAATTCCTGGGTATTCCAACCAACGAGATACCTCCTACAAGACGCTCCCCTTTCCCCCTTGGCTGCTCTTCTCCATCACTCCATCATCCCATTTCAGCCCATCGATCCTTAGCTAGCTTCTCATCTTTTGACATAAGGTGTTGGTCGGTACCTGAGAACGTCTTGTTGAAAGCATCGTATTTCAAATAGCTTACACTACTGTAATAATCGATCAACCATTTTCACCTGTATACCTCTGAAGCTATGGTGATTGTAGTATTCCCATGTGATGTGCGAGATTCTTATAACATCAAGCTGTGAATACGTGCCTGAAGATGCCTCTCCCAACTTGTGTTATATAACACTGATTTGAAACGTTGTACCCGGATTATTCACATATCTAGCCAGACAATACATAGTAGTCATTAATGTTTTAGATGATAAAGATATTAGACACAGTGTATACGTATGAGAGAGTCCCCAAAATAATAGCCATATCTCACTGGTACTATATCCTTTAATCTTGTCATATCTGGACAGTACAAGAGATCCAACTCCATGCCCTTCCCAACTTCCTCATCGCACACTTCAACCCCACCATTAACCTCCCCACTCCCACCTCAATGACCTCCTCACACCCATCACACCACACTTCAACATATTCCGCAAACTCACCACATCCTTCTGACTCAAAGCTCCCCCCAATTCACCCCCTCGCCCTCCCCTCGCTTACCCCACAAGTCCCATAATTCCCAAAATCGCAGTCATATCATCAAATAAGACGTCAGAACATCACAAAACCTGATACTATACACCTGGTCAGGTCAGTCGAGTGTGTAATGTGATTCCGCAAAAGCGGCAAGCACACAGAGTTGTTCCGCGGAAAAAATCCCCCCCCTACGAACGGAGGTTTCTCTAGCCCCAATGCACCAGTCCCATCGCGCCTGCTAGAGTTTTGCCTTTTTGTTTTTTTGGTGGGGTTTTTGGGGGTTTTTTGGTTGTGATGCTTTTTTTGCCATATTGCGTGGACGGCGATGAGAACATTCACCTAGAATACCTGCCTCTCGTGTAGAACAGGGGGGCAACAAGGGCAACTATATGGTGAATATCTATCTACAGGGGAACTTGATTAATCAAGCGATAATATGAAATTCTCTCATTCTTCTCGAAGATAAAGGAGGGAGAAGAGGAAAAGGACTGCATAAGGCTGGCTAGGGTTTGAACTTCCCGAAGTCGCATCTCTTATCCAGCTACTACCTCCGTACACCACATGGAATATTGGGTTGAAATACTTTCTAGATTAAATTACATGCTGAAGCATAATCGGAGTTGCTTAGTTTGGCATTCTAGGGGGAGTTCGCTTGAAGACCTGAAGGACGAGTTTATTTATTTTGCTCCTTGTGCTCCTTGTGCTCCTTGGAACTGACCTTATTTTGAGGTATAGGGTAATGGCATATTTCATGGTCCTCGAATGGCCTATTCTATATAAATATCCTTAGCCCCTGAGATCCTATAAAATACCTAGTCATCACTCTATACACACTGTCTAGAAAGTTATTCTACCAAGCTTCTGCACAAGTAAAATAATTATCTTAGGATATAGTGCCTAGGCTAACACAAAGTAAGAATTAATAATCATCCTAAACTCTCTTTACAGCTATCTTATTAATACAAGGCTTTTAGCATAATATGATTCAAAGAGATGTGTGTACGGAGTAATAACCACGTCTCTTACTCCTTTCAATAATTTCACCGTATACACCGAACCAAAATGTCTATAAATATATCCCAAGCCCAGGAGTTCCCATATGGTAATCACAACTACGTAAACCACATACACAACACACAGCATAACAAGCTACAGTACAGCAAGAGCGGTGTACATCCCAGTCTCCCCTCTCCCAGAAAATCCCTCAAATCCAACAAAAAAGGGGCAACAAACTCCAGACTCCAAATTCCAGTCAAACCTTTCCACCCACCTACCTTACAATTTTCATCCTACCCCTAGAAGTTCGTAACTGGAACCACGAAGATAATCCACTCCACTCACCATCGAAGCCTAATGCACGTACGTACTCAGCGGAACTGTCGATTCACTGCCGCCCCATCCATGATCTGTTGATGTTGGGGACCGTGCTTTTTCTCTGGAATATACAGTACCTGTGCGTGGCCTGCCGCCTGTGGATCTTCGCAGGGGTCGGGTGTAGAATGCGGTGTTTTGATTCCTAATTTCTGAGGACGGAGGATGGAGGTATTAAGACTTATGAGTTGGAGAAATTTAAAAGACGGATTGGGGGGAAGCGGTATGGAATTATGATAGGAGTGTGTTATTGCGAATATAGTATAAAGGCTTCTTGGATTTTGGTCACAATCCACCTGGTTGAAGGAAAATAAATATTATTTGTTATTGGTAAGATGAAAAGCCGTGTTATTTCCTGAATAATACCTCACTTGATCTACGGATAAAGCGTCGAGGACTAAAGAAGAAGATAGTTTTACTACCCTTTATCGGTATATAGTCTACCTACTTTCCTCTATCGATTAGACCTTATAAAAGTATATTAAAGATAAGTTATAAGATCATCTGGTAAGTTGTGCGAGTCGAATAAGGGCTCAGGGGAGACCTACTGGTTCGCCCTTTCTTACATAACTCAGCATCGTTACCAGTTAAATCCTTTCATTTTTCAATTGGGGTCTAATTAGGGAATTTAAGCGATCCTTCCAGCAAAGTTAGTATCCTGATCATTCTGCGAACAAAATTAAAGAGATCTGGAAGATATTTACTTATGAATTTGAGGGGTAGTAACGCTTAAGGAAAACGTTTAAAGGTGTAGTTTTCTGCTCGTGAATGCTTCTTTCTTCACCCTTTCATAATTACCTTCTTTCCTTCCTTAGGCTCAGTGTCAATTACACTCATTTGTTTATCTACTCACACTCTTTATATTTTCTTGTGACACTTCTTTCCATATCTATTAGCATCTAACGAAAATCACTTCTCCGATCATGACCAGCTCGCTCTTTATGACGGGGTTTGCCTCTCTGCTTGCCATCTCTTCAGCTCTTCAATTCCAAGTCATTCATCCTTTCTCTGACTCTGCATGCAAGAATCCCGTTGGTGTTAAAGCCGTCCACGATAGCGATGCTGTCACCGAGATCGCTCTAGGGTATGGAGTAGGTGCTGAAGCTCGGGGGCGCAAATACGAAAAGTACGGAAAAGTGGACTTTGAAAATGCAACTGCACCAGATAATGGCATTGGAAATTGGGTTCGGTGGTAAGTTTCTGCTCAATTCACTTGATGCTACTAGACTTACCTACTGGCACTAGGAATACCGGTCCCATAGAGAAGGGTTGCAAGGTCATCATATGACTCCCTTCGCGAACGATATCAGTAATTGGATGTGGATGGCTCCGGATGCAATGCAAGCTCCGGGAAAAGTAATCCTCACCGCCGCGCAGGAAGGTTGCGTGTTTACTCAATTGCCAGTACGTTTGCCTTGTACTTTTACTGCTATGTTCCCGTGATTCTGATCAAGAGCATTACAGGTTTCTGCCACCCTCTGGGCTACTTTCTGCTGTGGTGGTCAATGTAATCATTTCACAGGCAGTGCCCCTGATCCACGGCCTGCTGGCGAGAAGCCTCATAAACGCGAGGAGATTACTACCAATTGCAAACGGTGAGATGTAGTTCGGAACCCACTATGAATGTATTCTAATAAGTCCACAGAAGAAGAATATTCCAGCAACCACAGACATGGTCGCCGCAAAGATGGGATCTCTAGCTGCACGCGCGGCTCTACAAAAACGCGACCGCTGCGATATCCACGACAAGGAATGTGCTGATAAGTTCTGGAAAGGTTGCAAGATCGATCCAGAAACTCCTACTCTTGCAGCGGGATTTCAAGTTGCTGTATCCCAAATACAATCCGCGGCAGCCGGGCCGGGTGCTGGAGACAGCACCATTACAGCGTCTATTGCCTTCACGGTCGGGACCTCAACTTCTTTTACGCAAGGGAGCTCCTCTTCTTCAACTCAAGGTCTCGAGGTGTCTGTCGAGGGTGGTGTCTCGTTCCCCGTTGAAGCCAAAACTACTGTGTCTGCTTCTTTGATCTTTACTGAGGAGATCAACCAAAGTACTAGCCATGAGCAGAATGAGAGCAAACAGGAGACTGTAATTCAAACTTTAGCTCAAGTACTCGGAACTACGGGGTTCCAAAGTTACACGCCTTATTACAATTGCTATATGCCTTACATCGATTGTGGGATGGAGAAAGGCACCGGGAAAGTTAATGTCTGTTATCCAGCTTATGATAATAAAGGGCAGATTAGGGGGGAGTTTGCTATTGTTACTGTCAGCTAAGTCACTAAGTCGCAGGTTGGTTGATATGTTGTAAGAGGGGGCTTGTCTAGATATAAATGTAGGAGCACGTTCAATCTTAAGCTTACAGGACCTAGTAATGATAACCTTTTTATTTCTTTTTATTTATTTGATTGCCGCTTTTCATCAACCCTACCTTGTCGCTATTCAATTACAATTTATAAGATCTTACATACGGGGCTTCGAGGAGATAATCGGCGAGCGAGATTTTCGCCACTTCATTTAGATCATATAAATACAATCAGAAACGGGGTCTTAAAATTCTATGAGGTGATCTAAACATTCTATACCTCCTCCCAAGTCTCCATCCGCAGTGGTCCACAACACAATAAACCACCAACCACGACATAATCATACTCTAAAATTAAGCGAGGGCGACTCCACCGCTGTCCTCACTCCACCACTACAATCCCCCACACTTTCGACGACCACACTTATCCTACCCAGGATAATACATCCTTCACAATCCAATCCCTCCCCTCATCTTCCTTTGAATTGCGTCGTCCCATACTCTATGACGTTCACCACAGATCTCCTCCATTCCACTTCCAAAGTCTTCATCGAGGCGATGCCAATTGCTCATCTCCATCTGGCTTTGGTCTCGCAGGATCGAGATCGTAACCACCGCGACCTTTGTTGTATGTTTGTGTTTCTGTGAGACTCGACATTTTTAGTCTTGAAGAAGGAAGTGAGAGGTATTATGTTTGTGGTTGAGCGCAAGGGGTTTGTTCTATAAAGTTTATGTTAGAATGATACCGAAGCTAGGTGCTGTATGAATTTGTACTGCGTCTCATATACCTTTAATTAGATTCTTGTCAGATTTTATATCGTGTTTTGTGGTGTTGTTTTCATGTTTGTAAACCCCTATAATTTATTGACTTCCAAGTTTCGTCCTCATAAATTCTGCGTTTAATCAAGCAAAGATAGTATCTCAAGAGTAGGTCTCCCCCTTTTATACCATTCCCTACCATCCATCCAGCTCGTCACACAAGCCCAAACCGTAGCAGATCCCCAAAGTACCATCGCGAACCCAGAATTCGACCGAGAAAGACTCCTTTCTGAGGTTCAATTGGCGCTAACGCCACTGAAACGAATGGAGCTATCGGGGATAAAGCACACTCTGCTTCTCTTCAGGCTTGCGGGCAGATGCTTCGCCACTTTTCTTGCTTGGGGCTTTGCTGGAAACGGCCACCGAGGTGGGACTGCGTTGGGTATGACTATGAAGGTACATATAAGAGGCTGAGGAGCGTGGACAATGGCGATAATGTAACGATGTTTCGAGTTTCTAACGGCTGCCTAAAGACTCGAGTCTGGGGATTAGGACATTTCTGTAAGGTCTTAGTAAAACTTTGAGTATTCATGACATATAATTCCCAAGCATTTTTAAGCTCTACTGAGCCAGCATCATCATAACAACATGAACAACTAAACCAAATACGAAGGATTTACCATGTCTCTCTAACCATACCCAGAAGAAAAACTGCACTTCAACCAATCGCATAATCCAGCTTCCATAAATTGTAAAATAAATATATCCCAATCTACACTTTCCACGCTATTCCTTAGCCCCTATTCCGTGCATGTGATCTCACCTCCTGTGACATCTCGCCACCGAGCAGTTTGCTTACCAGACCCAATTGGCACAAATGGAAGGTACAAGAATACAGTGTCATATTCCAAGCAATACTCCGCCTCGCTCACTTCAGTAAAATATATCCAGTGCTTGTAACAACCAAGCATCTCCAGCACTTTCCTCATAGCATTGCTAACCCTCAAACAAAATTCCAAAGAGAGACAATATGAGAAAAAGAAGTCCCTCCAACCTACGGGGTGAAAACTCCAAGCAAAGAAACCCATCTCTCAACTCGCCGAACTTTCAGTATGCGACTCCACGTCTTCCGTATATATCCCCTTCCAAGGACCTCAAAATACAGACTAAACCTCTTTGCCTCATCGAGCACCATGTGAGATTCCCCGCCACAAGGTAATTTGCTTACAGACACGATGATTTTGGCTTACTGACTCAGAGGTACTTGCTTACCTCGCCGCACGTGACCACGTCCCGGTATGCCCGTTTCTGGCATTACTAATGCTGCGTCGTTCAACGAGGATGTATTTGAAATAGCTTACCCAAGTACTTAGGGAGAAGTGGAAGCTTATAGAAATACTCCTATGACAAGAGAAGGAAAGGGGAGTCTGCCATAGTAGGATAATGGGACTTTCATATTCCATTGAGAGTGTATACTAAGAAAAACGTGCATTAAAGCCCAAATACATTCTGTTGTAGTGGCGGATTAAGTGACAAGCTTATGATTGAAAAGCTTGTTACTCAGTGCTCGCGATCCATTCGCTCATGTACCGTGTCCGCCTGTAGATGGGGTCCAAAAATCATGCAGCATCTTCCCGCAGGCCCAAATGCCCACAACTTGGATGGACTCCGTCGACGTTCAACACCCGAAAAGCTCACCCAACAAGCGCAGAAGCCCACCTCGACAATACTTCGGAACCGTTCTGATCGTAGATGAGGCCGCTGTAAACGAGAGCAGGGTGCTCTTATTTTGAAAGGCAAATAACAACTTCCTTGCGATATTATCATGGCTCGGAGTGGGGGTTTTATGCAAACGGAACGGTTTACTTGGGGCTTTTCCGGGGTGCCGTCAAGCACAAGGGACGAGTCTGTTCCTGCTTGGAAATCTAAAGCTGGGCTGGTGATGACGCTGAACAGTGTTGGAAGTTTCGAGGCTCTCGTCGAGGACGTCGACGATGAGCTCTTGGGAAGGGGAACATCTTTCAACGTGCACGCGTGTGTCTCGCGAAAACGAAAGCATTGGTTGCCGTGAAACGAGTCCTTCGATCTCCGATGGCAAGTTTAGAACGACTAGCTGAGGTTCTATGGAGAGAAGTTCAAATCCTATCATATGAACCGCTTCGCGATGCTTCGACAATTGTAAATGCCCTGGGATATAGTTGGGGTCCGAATGAAGACCTGCCCTGCATTGTGATTGAGCACGCCAGTTACGGAACATTGGATAAATTCTTGCACGCCAGAGGCAGCTTCATTGATGGAGGTTGGGATCTATGCAGATCGCTCTGCTTGGACGTCGCTGTAGCCTTGGGGGTTCTCCATTCTAATGGAATCATCCACGGGGATGTCAAGGTGGAGAATGTCCTTGTATATTCCCACGAAGCCAAGTACGCTACTGCAAAACTGTCAGATTTTGGGCACTCTATATTCTCTTCAGCTGCTGGAGAGCCTATATCTTACCTTGGAACACCAATGTACAACCCCCCCGAAGTGTTACGTCTGGAAAGTTATACCACGTCTACCGGACTGACTACTATGGAGCAGCTTTCCAAATGTGACGTCTGGGCTTTCGGGTTGATGGTTTGGTGCACAATCAACGCTGGCAAAGGCTACTTTCAGGACCAATGGCTGTCTCAAGGTCGAAAATTTACAGACAAACTAGATTTTCTGATCAACCATCAGTCTGATTATCTACAACTTGCCTCTTCCGAGTTCCTGCGGGATTCTGAGGTATTCTCTAGCGCACCGGGCTCTATAAAACTCTTGTTCAACAGTTTGTTGTGGAACTGTCTGTATGGCCAAAACGAGCAGAGATGCACTATGCGAGAGGCAAGCATTTTGCTAGATACAGGAAGGTAGTTTTTCTAATCTTTCCTGGTCTGGAAAACAATTGCTAAGACTATCAAAGAGATTGGCAACATTTCGAATCCAATGCTTTTAGACAAGAGTCTACTGACTTGCAGAAGGCCTCTTTTGGGGTCTTCCAGGTGCTTGATGTAAGTATCTGGTAATTGGCTTCTTATATTGGTTTCTTAGTTTAGATAGTGCATCGACTCCGATATTCCGTGGCATTTTCGACAAGCTCTAGTTAAGGATTTACTGAAACTAGAAGATATACGACAAGCTCATTCAAGCAATTCCAATGATTCCCCTACGTCCTGCTACATCACTGGCCATGAGCTCATCGGTTATCATAAAGAGCCAATCGAAAATATTAATCAAACTGGAGTGTTGGCCACCTGTTATGCAACCAGCTTTGGGGTTGCTTTCAGTCTCGAAAATATGTTCAAAAATTTGCAAAAGGATGGAATGACTTCTGGCCACACCGGCGTTTTCATTGAACGAATAAAACAGGCCCATTCCATGTCCTTGGATGGAGATGTTCAAAAGGATATAGAGGGTGACTGGCAGGACGATGCGTGGTTTTCAAAGTCAATACATTCATTTCAAACTGCCATGTACAAAGAGCATCGCTTGAAAATGGACAGAGCCCGGTTCCAAAGTCTGGACTTTGAACTCCACAACCGTTCAAGTTACGATGCCTTGTTAAATACTGCTGGAAAGTTTCCAGACAGTAACTTGGAGATATATTGCCGAGACGGGCTGCAATACTTACGGCCATTTCTTCATTTCGCAGTCGGCATGGATGACGAAAAACTGGCTCAAAAACTGATACAGCATGGGGCTAATGTAGACCAGCAAGATTCAGAAGAACGAACTGCCCTTTTTGAGGCATGTGCGGTGGGAAATGTTGGAATAGCACTATTACTACTAGCAGCTGCTGCTGACCCTTCTCTTCGGGATTTTACCGGAATTGCCCGCTTCATTTAAATGTTTTCTTTTGCCAGAATGAGATCGAAAAAGTCGGCATTGCTCTAGTGATGGCCGGTGCTGACCTGGAGGTAAGCATACACCAAGGGAAAGCGTGGAATCTTGGATGGCATGGGATATCGATTTCAGGAACTCCGCTCCATGTGGCCGTTTCATGCAGAAATGCTGAGGCTATCCGGGTTTTGCTACAGCAGGGTGCGAATGTCAATCACCGAGTAACTTTCAGGTCACCGCTGGACACTGCCACTGCTTACCATCTTCCTGATATCTGCGAACTCTTGATCAAGAAAGGTGCCAAAGTCGAGAGATATTGGGTTACTGGGAGGTCACCTCTGCATAGCTTTGGAGATTCTTCACTTAGTCCATCATACGCAAGGGTTGGTTTCACGACTTTCGAAGATCATTACTTGGTTCATAAACTGATCAAAATGTAACCTGTTTGCATGGATCGAATTTTTCCGAAGCTGCCACCAAAACTATCCAGCTACTCCTTCGACATGGCTCAAACATTCAATCTCCAAACATATATGGAGATACCGCACTTTTGATTGCTGTAAAAGACCGTGCCGATGATGTCCATGCTATGAAAGTCATCTTAAAGCAGTATGACATTTTATGTCTCCCCATTGATAAATCATTAATCTTTCCAGCTATTGAGGCAAGCAGTTTTAATAACAGTTGCTCTAAGATATCGGAGCTGCTCGCACATGGCTTCGAACAAACTCTGCAAAATTCGGATGGTAATATGATTTTGCATCACTGTGTCGTCAAAGGTGCCGCTGCAGCTCTCCGTATGCTGGCCACTGATTCTACTCTCGACCTTGAAGTCCGGAATCGAGAAGGCTACACTCCATTGCATCTCGCCTGTGTGATGGATTCTATTGGCTGTCTAGCTATCTTATGTGAGAATGGGGCTTCCGTGAACTCGCAGGTAGACGGTTCAAAGGATTTGGCTCTCTCTTTAGCACTTTCGAGTGGGAGTATAGAGGCGTTTTATATTGTGAGATCTCCGCATTCCTCTTAGGCATGAGAAGCTAAGAAGATTGACCTAGTTGCTTCAGAATAATGCTGATCCATGGCTAGGAACTCAAGCATCTCGCGGCCCTACGATTCTACATCGAATATGTTCGAGAAAGCTGAATTCCCAAGCCCAGGCAATGAACCCATTTTTCCTAGGAAGTCAGAATTTCATAAAGCTTCACGTCCCTCCGACTTCTCTTCTATCAGAAATCATGTCCCATGGCTCCTCAGAGGTATTCTTGTCTGTCGGAATGCGAGACTCGGGATTGTTGAATGCTAGAAACCATCGAGGTTGTACAGGCCTCCACGTTGCTGTGGAAAGTGCCGATCTAGCAGCTGTGGAGATTCTTTTACACGAAGGAGCCGATAAGAACCTGAGTGATGATTTTGGATTGAAGCCTCTGGATTATGTGGACTTGACGATGTCATCGTATAAAAGGTGGAGAGGGGGGTACTCGGCTAAGTTCGACGACATTTTCATAGAGATTCGTCTTCTTCTGCAGGATTCTGGAAGCCCTAAAGAAGTTTTACAAAGTTCTTGATCTAATCTGAATTCATGAACAGATTACGGTCAAAGATTCAGTTGATTTGGGGTTCCTAGTACAAGTCCTCCAAGTCAAGCTTCAAGCCGCACTACCCTGCGACTGATTTCCATTGATCCCCACAAAAACGACCATGACAGCACAATAGCTGTCGGCACCGTTAGCAAGAAAACTATATGTAGATAATAGGTATAGTATACGTAGCAGTTGTTGCAAAGATTTCATGGCCCGGTGCCGCAGTGAACGATGACAACACCGAAGAGAAACAAACAGAAAAGAATATTATTACCCCCAGCTTCCAGTTTGTACTACCCATTCCATTGAGAACTATAATTGGAGTCAAGAGTAGCACGACTGGAAAGGCCGTAGTCAAAACCCGAGACACAACTGTAACCGCGCGAAAAGATCCCAATAAAACGTTCTTGTCCACCGAAGTCTGTAGTGTGTTTTAGTATACGTTATCGGTCAATTGAGCAGTAGCATCCCCACATTTCCGCGGTAACTAGAACCAAAGAATTCTACAATCCGACTCTTAGTTACGATTTCCTCGATTCTGCCAAATTCGGCTGGGTACCGAGTTGCTACCAAGTCTTCCCAATCATTCATGAACGTGGACTCGGATAGAGACAGTGGTTTGTTTCCATCCAGCCAGTTTACCACGCTCTTGATATTCTCTTCATGTGGGGTAGGCCTTTCTCGTGTCCGATGATAGGCGTCCAGCAATCCATCTACCAATTCTTAATTTTACGTATCATCCGAAGACGGGTCAAAACCATCTTACCATATTCTCTCAATTTTGTCTCAATCTCGGCTACCAATGCTTTTTGAACAGCACTGGGATTACTACGTCTTGGGCAAAGGTGATAGGGTATCTGCTCTTCGTTGTCAAGCTTAAGGAGCCTAGTCTCCAATTCTACTAGTTCATCTTGCTTATAAAGAAGGACTCGAGTACGGGGAAGCCCAAAGCGGCGGAATATGGCAAACTCAGGAGCGCTGTTGAGAAAAGCTGCCAGTCTAGGATAGCCTCGCCGATGGCTTTCAACTTCTCTTGTCAAACTTATACAAAAGTTCAGGAGCGTGGACTATACTTTCGTTCTGATGGTTCACAAAAGGGTCTTGGAAGCCAGGAGCGTTGTTCGGGGTAGCATTTGGTGCTGCAAATGCATCAGCCGTGTTCTGAAAGATGATATGATTTGCTTACCATGGTGAAAGTTAGGCCTTGTTTGGAATCGTCCATTAACTCCTGGAGCAGCCATTTTCAACTAACAGGAAGCTCTGATAAGCAATATGGTGTGGGCAAATTATTCAGATGTGTCACAACTATAAGTTTGATAGAATACTGGAATGCAAATCCTTTTCATTTTTTAAAGTGAAGCCTGACGAGACCCGACCAATAGGGTAGAAGAGTTGGGCAATGATACAGCAGGCAGCCGATAAGGCTCTGAAGTAGCATTAGTAAGCACCGCTGCACTTGAATTCTCCTTCCTCGTAAAAGCTCACTGTATGGGCGTTGTAAAAGTGAGCATGGAATCGAATCTTTTGATATTCCTGGGATCGTTAGTGGCTCAGGTTTGATGGTTAACATTGGGATTCAAGTACCTGCTCCCAGAAGCTCTCTAGGACTTGACCAAAAGACTGTTTGATGAGACAGAACTTGGGTGTTCCACACCAGTGTCTTTCAACTTGATGGTATACATTTCATTGCCGAGGACTGCAATGATAATGTATGGTCCAGCTGGTGCTTGCTGGCCTGCGGCCTGCAGATACACTTCTTCGTCCAGTTGGTATGTAGATGCGGTTGGGAACTGTATAAGGTCAGTAAAACAGGGCGGTTTCTGTTGGGGAAAAGGTTCCTTAAATTACATTAGCAGGATTGTTGTATTTTTTGACACGTGCACGATATCTCCCTCCTTTAGTATCAATAAGCTAGTAGAACTCAGCTGGTTTTCTTCGGGTTTCCAGATGCAGCTGCTCTTAAGGAGTTGAAAATACTTCATAATCATCCTCACTTTTGTCCTCCGCATCATTTCCAGGCGGATTTGTTCGCTTTTGGTTATTATCATGGCTTGTCATTTTGACAGTTGAGAAGTGTGTCTCTCCTTGTTGAGTGTTCTGAGAAGTAATCTTTTGCATGTAGTGGCTACGATAAGAAGTAAACTTCCCATAATGCTGTGTAACATTGAATATGGTGACGTGTCAAAATTCCTCGACCTAGATGCGCGCATGAAATAAGCCACAAATCATAAAGGACTATGAAAGAAAGAACGAAAAATGGCCGATGAAAGAGCAATGATCACTGATTTTGAGGAACGGACTCGTGATTCCTGGACTTCGCTCGGAGGTTACGATACAGTGGCAGCTTTACTTATATATTGGGCCGAAGATGATCTGAATGTTAAACCCGAAGTCGAAAGATTGGAGGATCTTCTTAGGCGTGATTTTGGCTTCTGGACGAATATCACCCTCATCCCAAGCAACAGCCCTCGGGCGGAGCTCCAATATCAATGAACACTTTTTGTGAAGCAACATTCGCTGGATAAAAAGAGCTTATCGATTGTTTACTACGCAGGACACGCTGATAATGCAGATGAGACAGCTCCTGCAGGATATAGCGAATGGAGAGCGTATGATGAACCTCATTTTTGAACTTTCCTCGTTGCCAAAGACTGACAGCCACTCTAGCTTAGAACAGGGTGGACCAAGTATAAATTGGTTTGAGATACAGCCCTCTCTCTATGCCGCAGAAGGTGATGTTCTCGTAATTCTGGATTGCTGTCATGCTGCACTCAGAACTAGCGGTACCAAGAAGGGGAAAATGGAAGTATTGGCAGCAAGTGCATCAGGATCTCGTGTTCCCGCCCCAGGCCGGCTTTCGTTTACCTCTGTATTGATACGGCAAATCCGAAAACGTCTTCAGTCTCGACAGGGCTTCTCTCTCAGGTGGCTTCATAAGCACCTTTGGGACGATACGACCCATCCCGGCTTGACAGGTAGGTCGCCAGAGGGTGATGAAAAAGACAGAGAACTGCTTTGACATCTTTTTAGAGACTCCAATTTACTTTGACTTATCAGAGCATGATGAGCGAAGTATTATTTTGAGTCCGCTGATTGCCAGACCACCGGAGGGATTCGCTAAGAAAAGAGCAGTGCCAGCTGCCTATGTCATATTGACGGTATCGTTAGCAGACGATCCGACTGGGCTGCAAATAGCCAATTGGCTCAGAAGTTTTCCTCCTCCTACTGCACAAGATGTGGACATAGAAGCCCTCGTACTGAAAGCAAGAAAGATTGAAGGCTTGAAGAACATCGAATCACTTTTCACGGGATCTATACTTGGGAAGATATCTCGTTCGGCGCAAGTCGAGATAACAGAACGACTTTCTGCACTGTCTGGCGCTGTATCAGATGCCGCAACAGTCGCTGCTACCACTGTTACTGGCCCGAGCTACGCGAAACGAGCGATAAACGAGCTGGAAACCAACGTCTCAGCGGTATGCGATGCTATTGAAGGCAGTTTGCTTTTAGATTCCAATGTCGACCTAGAAGCAGCGGTTAGGGACGAGGTTTCCATAACAATAGGAGCAACACAAGCTCTGAATTTGCGACAATACCTACTCGGCAAATACAAGATACCGGATACGCCAGAGATTCCGAGGATTTCCATCAACTTTAAGCCTAGCACACAAGCATGGAAGAAGAAAAGATTCCGGTACGGATTCATCGAAGAGAAGCCAGTGATTGTCGAGACTTTTCAGTATGCGCAACTTCCCGCGGAATCTGAAACCCCACGGCATACAATTGAACAGCTCAAGAAAATGGTTACACAATTGTCACAGTTGAAGAGAACAAGTTTCCATATCCTTCCATGCGTGGGATACTTTCAAGAACGGCACGCGGCGCAGTTTTCCATAGTATTCCAAATCGAGGAGAATCTTTTTTACTGAGGACAACCCAGCACTTTTGACTAGTCTATACTCTTTTGTTAAAAGGGTCCCCTTGGAAGCCAGAGTCCACTTGGCTAGTACTTTGGGCATTGCTGTGGAGAATCTCCATCGTGTAGGGTGGCTACACAAGGAACTGAAAAGCGAGAACGTACTATTCTTCAAGAAGTCAGTACCAAGAAATATGGAGGGCAGAGCAGATACGATAAATTCACCTGATCGGATGGAGGATTTTGGCCACCCTTGGCTGCTTGGGTTTGAGTATTCAAGAGCAGAGGAAGCTGCTACGCATCTTGAATCCGACTACTCGCTGGTGAATAATGCATATCGACATCCCGAAAGATGGGGCAAGCCAACAGTCAAGTTTGAAAGATCGCACGATGTGTATGCACTTGTATGTCCTTGGCTAACCGGAAGTATGCAGTTTGCTGACATTAACAACCAGGGAATCTTACTTCTCGAAGTTGCTTTTTGGAAGCCAATACAACAGTTTCGAGAGTTGAAGAATACAAAAGTTAACCCTTGGGTAGTAAAAGAAGATCTTTTGAAAAGAGTTAATCAAGACTGTCCTCATATGGTGGGACAAAACTTTAGTGATGCTATTGATACCTGCTTTCAGTTCAAGGAGTTAACCAGTGGTCTGAATGAATTTGAGGCACACAAGGTACTCAAGGAGAAGATATTAGGAAAGCTACAGAAAGCGGCTGGAAATCTGTAGAGGTTTGATGGCGATGGCTTTTTAAAGTTGAAGTCGTCGAGAATTTGAGGTACGATTGTATTATTCGCGTACCCTACATAGTATATAGCGATGTGCAATACTACTGTAAAAATTGATTTTAGCCGCAATATGATAATGCTAAAATCCTACCTACCTTAATATTCTACCTATATGCGTTGTGATATGGCATGATGTCTTGGGCCACGCAGAGATAATTTATTATCTTAAACCTCCAAGTTTAATACCCTCACGGCATTTCTTCCCAAAGCTCCCTTCTCCTCCTCACTTCCACCCCCAAGTGCAGCCTTTATAGCGACGTAATTTGTCTCCACACTGGCCCACTTCTGACCTTCTCCCTCTAAAGGCGGGAAGAAAGGATGGTCCGTTCCAAACATGACTCTATACTGACCACTCGCTTGGATCGCAGCTTTCAGTCCCACCTCACTATATATCACCGCGTCCAGGTAGATGTTCTTCTTCAGGACATCCCAAACTGTTTTTCTTTCTTTTCCTAGCTTCCCTTCGGCTTTGAGGTGTGCATCGTGCTCGATACAACTCTCTATCCTACCAGCAAGGAACGGTAGGGTACCACCGGAATGAGCGAGAATCATCTCCAACTCGGTGACCTTTTCAAAGACCCCAGCGAGGATCATGCGCGTGACTGCGATGGTCGTTTCTAGAGGGAAGCCCAGGGCTAGAGGAAGGACATGTCCGTAATCATTTGCCCGCTCTCCCCAGACACTTCCTGGAAGTCCGTAATGCGGATGTAAGAAGATGGGTAATTTGTTCTCTTGCAACGCTTCAAAGATGGGTAGTAATTCCGGGTCATCGAGGCCTTTTCCCAGCCCCGTCGTGCCGAGGATCACTCCCCTTATGTACTTCAAACTCTTCAGTCGCTGGATCTCTTTCACGATGACTTCTTTCCCTCCACTCAACGGCAGCGTAGCGAAGGCGAATAACCGCCCAGGGTACTTCCCACACTCGGTGTTTACTTCATCGTTAATGGATTGAGCGGCCTGCGCTGCTTCTGAGGAAGGCACCCAGTCCAGCCAGGGGTTTGCGAGCGAGATGACGGAGATGTCGATCGAGTGTGTGTCCATGAATTCTATCTTCTTGCTGATGTCGTAGTACTCGGCCCCCACGGGTCGACCCCGCGAGGTGCTTTCTGTGTCTTCGGCTGGGAGGATCACGAGACGGAGGGAGGGCGAGGGAGGGAAGGAGCGCACGTAGGGGATTTCTGAGCGGGATTTGAGGAGGCTGATGTAGGAGGGGGGGTAGACGTGTGTGTGGATGTCTACCACCGGGGATTTGGTGTTGGTGGCCATGGTGATGATTTTCTTGTCTGGTTCTTGATCTTCAATAGCTTCACTTTATTCTAAAAGCCAAGAACTCAATTGAACGGAAGGTGCAAGTCACACTTTGAATTTCCCGTGACGCAAAGGCGAGAATTGGAAGTGGCTGTAGCTAGAGAAGTGGTGTAATATTTGAGTTTCAGAAAATGATATTCAGGGCATGGACCCCGCAGTCCAACCCCCTTATCTCGCCAATTACAGCTACCCCGCTCTTATCTGCTTCTGCCCATCTGGTACCTCATCCCAACTTTGCACCTTCCTTTCTCAACCATCTGCACCCCTCAAAACGCCAAACGGAGTACGGAGGACGGAGTGCGGCTCCTTCCGGGGTCAAGGAAATCTTTTGTGAACCTTGAACCTACACAGTCCAACAATTTATTTTGAACACGCCTATCCAACGTCAAATCTCCCATCCCCCTTTCAAATCCTCGCCTCACTCCTCTCCATACCTTTCATTTTCTAACACAGAAGTCATCTATCCTTACTTCTGAAAACTGATTAAGAAATTACCAAAATGGCCTCACAAACCAGCGCCGTGAACAGTAACAACCTCGTCATCCCCGTAATTTCCCCCCTCCACCCCTCCCTAAATCCTCGCTAACCACATAACACAGCTCGTCGACTTCTCCAAATTCCTCACCGGTACCCCAGAAACCCGTCTACAAACCGCCCAATCCATCCTCCACGGCTTCAAAACAGCCGGCTTCATCTACCTAACCAACCACCCCATCCCCCTCCCCACCGTCTCCAAAACCTTCGACACCTCCTCGCTCTTCTTCAAGCAACCCCAAGCCCAAAAAGACGCTCTGGGCTGGACAACCCCCGAAGCAAACCGGGGCTACGTCTCCCACGGGCGCGAAAAAGTCTCGGTCCTCACCTCGAAAGAAGAGGTCGAAGCTTCCCGCTCCCAAGCTCCCGATTTAAAGGAGAGTATAGAGATTGGACGGGAGGGAGCGGAGGGGACACCGAATAACTGGCCGGATGCGACGAATGACGCCGAGGCGAAGGAGTTCAAGGATGTGATGTTGCATTTCCATGACGAGTGTAAGAAATTGCATATCGAAGTGATGCGGGCCATTGCCGTGGGAATGGGGTTAGAGGAGAGCTACTTTGACTCGTTTACCGATGTAGGAGACAATACACTCCGCCTGCTACACTACCCTGAAGTCGCAAAGGGGGTCTTTCAAGCGAATAAGTTGCAGGTTCGTGCGGGTGAGCATACCGACTACGGGAGTATCACGCTGCTCTTCCAGGACAATCGGGGAGGCTTGCAGGTTAAAAGCCCGGATGGGACGTTTGTGGATGCTACGCCTATTCCCGGGACGGTGGTAGTTAATGCGGGTGATCTGTTGGCGAGATGGAGTAATGACACGATCAAGAGTACGCTCCACCGAGTCGTGGAACCGCCTGCGCCCGAAGAGGAGGATGTCCATCCGGCGAGATATAGCATTGCGTATTTTTGTAATCCCAACTTTTCGCGGCTGATTGAGGCGATTCCGGGGACGTATGCGTCGGAGGAGGAGAAGAAGTATGAGGGCATTAACTCGGGGGAGTATTTGGTAAGGAGATTGGCTGCTACTTATTAATTTAATGGAGATCTATTGACATTATCTTCTTTCTACACATTGGTTTCCTGAGTTATCGAAATTGTGTGAATTGGTTGGGATGTAAAGTACAGTATAATAAGCATTCTAACCTCCACTTCTCGTAGACCCATCTACCCAAAGACCCCTTCCTTGAACCATTCAGTACACATAAGATAAACCAAACAGAATCTCAAATCCTTCATCACGCACCAAACAATTCTAGTATCTTTTTATGTACTACTTAGTCAGGCCTTAACTTATCTCCGACATAACTCACCTACCTGTCAAGGGTTGCACCCGTGGAGTGAGTCTTGGAGTGCTCCAGCGACATGTGCACGTGACCTCTAAGCAGACTTGGTGGAACCTTCTAGAGTATTGGTAAAGGACACGTAGCCAGTTCTGTGGTATATAGAGAGGGCTGGGAAGCTGCTTTGGGAAGGACAATCGAATCTTCTTGTACATAGACAACCTCTGTAGTTCAATTCATCGGCATTTGCTACAAGTCCTGACACTACCCATACTTAAATCCCTATAGATCCAAACCCACCAGCCCACATCCCAACATCCCATAAAACGGAGCAACCAACCATCCATCTTGTTTCATATAGGTAATAATTACCTTACTTACTAATAGACTTTAGGTTTAAACCTTAGTCTGTTCTCGCTTATTCTAGAACGTTCGATCACGTGAACCGAAACATTCTAGTATCCCTTTCTATTTATAAGCACTTCTATTCTATTTATAATCTATAGAACCTCCTAGAATCTATCTAAGGAGTATATATAGACCTTTACTGTCCTTGTATTTAGAAAAATCAAGTCATTTTCACAAGTCAAATTCTTACTCTTTTGATTCCCGATGTACCTAACAGTCATCTGACCATCCTACTTCCACTGTCTTATATACACTCTGTATATAACCGATACCTCTTACACATCTATCAAGAACCACAAGTAATTCCAATTCGATGGATTGATCTTTTATAGAGGTAGGTAGAGAAGCTTGGTTGGGTTCTATAGTACTGTACTATATAGTATATGTAGCTACCTTAGTTCTTGATTTCGTTTCCAAAATTTTGAGTCTTAATTTAACCCAGTCATCTCATCTATTTATATGCACTCATTCGGTTAGATACTAGTATAGAGACTTGTACCATCACTGTCGTATTCTTACTTAGGTATAATATAATATCCTTACTATTATATACCCCTAACTGTAATGTAGCCTGAAATATTAGACCCTTACTATTACCTAAACACACCCCCAAGTTCACTTGGATCACTTAGAATAACTGCATTTCAGTGCATGTCTAGATGAAGATGGTCAATTGAATCCACAGTAAGCGAACCTGATACTAGTGTAGCCAAATATTGCAACCTACAGCATACCCTCATGATATACCTGCCCTGGCGACATTCCAGCAAAGAATACTGTACATGCGATACATATGTAGTGACATTGCCCCTGACACTCTGCAAGCAACCATACCTTACTTTGGCATGACCAGATCCCATCCCACAAGGTTAGCCACCATGCTAACAAGCCAGTCTTTCGAGGGTGCTACTCCCTTATGTTCAATCTTCGAGATATCCATTTTCTCTACTGGCGGCTCAGGCATCCGCAAGGTTTCAAGATGCTCTACTCCCACCATATACTTGACTAGGGTGCTTTGAAGTAAGTGCTTCGCTTTGTCCAGCATGCGCATATCCTTAGGCTGTCTAGAAGCCCTCGAGCCAACCCGGCCTGTCATGAGAACCTTGAGAAATAGCTCTTTCTTATCGGCTCCACCGAGCGCGGCATAAAGAATCTGCGTCGCATACAGAGATTCGGTATATGTGGTATCGATCGTTGGTGTTTTGCTGACCTTGGGCCCTCTGTTTTTCGAAGCTGCAATATGCCCACCAAAGCTAGCTACCGACATTAGACGCCCAGTATGCTCCAATACTGCGAACATAATTCCCTCCAAGAGCTCAGAGTGTCCTGGCTTATTCACCTCCCAATCCATGCCCCATATGATAGAGGTGATTGTGCAAGTCAAATATACGTTGACGGCGTATTCCTCTGGTTTGGATCCTTTTGAGCGCTTACTTGATCCAATGATCTTTTGATGTTCGGCTTGTTTCTTGCTAAGATTGTGTAATAGTGCTAGGGAGTTTTTCACGAACTGGACCATTCCATAGATGATTGGGCTCCTCTTAGATCTGCCAGGTATAGTCCGACATATCTCATTCAAAGTTGTAAAGCATGACTGAAAGCTAATGTAGACTTGCCAAGTCAGTTGTCGAAGTAACTTGAAAGTGTGAGATTTTTGCAGCTCCTCGTTGTCGTTGTAAAACTTTAATGGCATGCACGAGTCGCACAAAGCATTCTCAAGCAGCGCCAATAGACCATTGAAGTGCTTCAATACGTCGCCGTGGTGATTTGGGTCTTGTAGACGTTCATTGGACTTGTCGAGGTTTTTTCTCTCCCGTCCTAGCCGAACCACTAAAAGTCATTCAAGTAAGCATTTGCGACTAGCTAATGGTAGATTCATAGCATCATGGGGAAGCTTACAGAAGGATCTCATCCTAAGGAGGTGCACATCGGCAGGAGCCATGAATGTTGCTTCCTCGTTCCACATGGCAGGAGGGTCTAGGCCTGAGAGGATGTCGTCACTCGATGGTTCCTTTCTCTTCCTTGCAAGCGGCATATCGGAATACTGTGACATTAGTTGTTGAGGTATTGCAGGTCGTGTGTCAGGGTCATCTTGATCTTGGGCCAATTTCAAGACTCGCAGCTCCTCTTCTCTTCGATGGACCTTATCCTGAAGGTCTTTCTTCTCCTCGTGAACCCTTGTGTATTGGTCCTTCCAGAACTCAACACTATCGACATATCGGTGTTCACCGTCGAGAACACTGTGACTACTTGTGGTCTTGACCTTTTTCCGGAGATGTTGAATAAAGTCTATAAGGTTTAGTATCCTATTGAAAAGGTAATTTAGGTTAATATACCTGAGGTAGAGCTGTCTTTTAGACGAAACTTGGTCAGGGCAAGCGCGAGAGAGCATTGGCTCTGGGTAAACGGGTGTTTCGAGGAGGAAGCTACCAAAGGAACGGCCGGGTCTGCGTCTACGTCTGGAGATGGCGACATAGTAAGGGATCTGTTCACGGCAAGGACTACCGGAGGAGGGGAATTATTGAATAGAGAGGGACTTTGATAAGAAATCAGGGATTCTTTTGCTGATGAGACTGCCGGAAAAGAGGGCTCTTTTGATGGATGTTGAGGTGGCACGGCTACGCTCGATCCATCCTTTCCAATTGCTGCCCGCCGAGAAGAGGAAAGAGGGGGTTTGGATAGGGATTGAGATGGTACTATGCTTGGTTCTTTATGAGAAGGTGCTGCGGTCGTCAGAGATTGTGATTGCGGCAAGGCTTTTGACGTCTTGCCAAATTGATGGGTGGGCAAACGCGGATATGATTCCTTCCTTCCTCGGGTTCGAACCATGATGTCCATTCGACCCAAAGAGACGCGTACCCATTAACAATGTCTGAGGAATGATAACAGGTAGTTGAAGGGTGAAGGGACGAAGAGACAAGGCGAAGAGACGAAGAGGAGGAGAGGTGGAGGGGTGGAGGGGTGGAGAGATGGGCAATGAATGGAGGGCAGGAGAGCTGCGGAAGGAAATGGAAGGTTATGAGAAAACCACAAACGAAGGTCACTGAGCAGGTTAGGGCAAGGCAGTGGAGGCATAGATGGATACAGCTGGCGGCCGGGGGCCTGGAATACAGGAGTGACTTCCAAAGCATGGCAATCTGGCAGGAGCGACCTCGCAGCATCCCAAACGGGAAGTCACGACCAACAACAACTTGAGAGACGCCCCTTCCGTCGAAACAATCTGACAGCAGAAATTTATATTCCGGATGCAGAAGCTACGAGAGATGTTCTACCATGCGACGGATATTGTGCGATTGCACTTGCAATTGCCTGGAGTAGGTACGTGCTCTTCAATCTCTTGCGAAGAATACAGGTATCTCACCTATATAAACAGCAATCATTGAGATTGCCGATGCAAATTCTGGTCATCATTCTCCATATGTATAGAAATGTATATATGTACACCAAGGATGACTGAAGCTTCGAATTCGGTTATGTGGTTCAAGTGTGGGTACCCGTACCCAGTGGTCGATAGACTTCATCGACATCAGCTCCATAATGTATTGTTGCACATCGCACCTCCAAAGAAGAAATCCCATGAATAATATTTCAGAATGATAAATTTCAATATCGCAGTCATCTTCTTGTGATGTTGATCATTTTAACGATGTGCAATTCGACTTTGGTGATAATAAGAGTGTGCTAGCGTGGTTGTTGGCTTGATATTACTAATAGCTTAGCGAAAGAAAGATTATTTGACGTCAACTGATCAGAAATTGTATAGATGAGTGAATGGCAGGGGCCTTGGCGACGACCAGTCTTGTGATTACCTAGGTATGGTGATGGAGCTGTTGAAGTGAAGTTTGAACAGGTGAGGCTTTAAACAGACCCACAACCCTGGCCCTCGTGGAGAACGAGTCATCATTAAAGATCACCGCCCGAGGTTCAACCGCCAACTTTAATCTTCCGCTATCCATGCGACAGACAACCCTCCAGCTACAACTTCAGCTCCAGACAACAACACAACCTCGTCGCAATCCCTCAAGCACAAGGTACAGCATCCACGCCCGCCATGGCCAACAACGACCTCCTCAAGTTCGTCACCAGCGAAGTAGATTTCTACGACCTCCTCGGCCTAACCTTCGAAGACTGTTCCCCCTCCACCCTCCGACGCGCGTACCGCAAAACCGCGCTGAAATACCACCCAGATAAAGTCGGAACCTCTTTCGACCCCGAGAAATACGAGCTCTTCCAAGCCGCCAACGACATCCTCTCAGACCCAGAACTAAAATCAAAATACGACAACCACAGGAATGCGCGCGTGCAGCGGCAGCGGGCGAATGAGTTATTCGAGGGGAAGCGACGGCAGATGAAGGAGGATTTGGAGGCGCGCGAGAGGGGCGGTGTGAGTGCGGGGATGAAGAGACAGAGGGAGGAGGAGGGGGAGATGGGGCAGGAGTTGAGGAGATTGGCGGAGGAGGGGAGGAAGAGGAGGGCGGCGAGACAGTCGATGATGGCGGAGAATTTTAAAGTTGATACTTCTTCTTCGATTCCTTCTGCGCCCAGGTCTGCACCGCTGCCAAAACAGCATGAGAAATCTTCAAATTTCCCACAGGCAGGAGAGAATGCGAAAGCAGAAGAGCCTCAGGAAGAGGACGAAGTAGAGCGGTTAGAACGAAGGATTCGCGAAGCGGAACAGGCCAAAGCCCTCAAAGCCCAGAGGAAAGCCGAGAAGAGAGCGAGGAAGAGCGGTGTCTTCGTTCCTCTAGACTCTCCAGCTCCAAAATCAGAGTCCAAAGCTGGGAGCTCAAAGTGGGAGGCAGACCAGGGAGCCTCTACACCTATCAAACGCCCCGATATTTTCAAAGGTCTGAAAGCTGACGAGAAGTCTTCAGCATCTCCGAAATTCTCATTCTCACCCAACACTACACCTGCGAAGAATGACTTCTCTGCTACGATGGCGAGGTTAAAGGCTGCTGAGAAGATGAAATTGGAGGAGATACGACAAAGGGAGTCGGAGACTGCAGGTTAATGAGCTGAGGTAATAATGAAGAAACATTGTATGATATATGATAATGCATTAGCGCCGGAGTCTTTGGTGGGTAATGTAGATTAATTAATACCCGTAGAAATTGAAATGCACTCAAGTGTTAATCACTAGAATGATGTTGCTAATATGGGCAACTGATTTGCGCGTATGTATACAGTGTTCATACATGGCATAGCAGTGCCTTATAGAAAACAGACTCAGGGAACCTATATCTCTGGAAACGCTCTCGTCTGGTCCAAGGCTTCCAAAGGTACGTTTCCTCAAAACAACCCATCGAAAATATATTCAATCCTCCGTCTTCCTTTATTTTTGTGACAAATGCCACTCCGGCACAAAAGCCCTGACCTTAACAAATTCCTTCCCCACGCCCTTCTCATCCCCACCCCACTCCACCATAAACTCCTGCCCCTCCTGAAACGAATCATAGTCAACCTCCCCCGAACCACTGGGCGTCATCTCCTTCAGCCTACAAAGCGCCAACCCGACGTTCCCCACCCCAGTAATAACCTTGCCCGTACTCTTCTTCTTCCTCGTAGGGTGTTCATCCGTAGCGCCCTGCACGATCGTCTCGAGCAACCCGGGCTGGAACCGTTCAATATCAGTGCCATACAGTATATTCTCGGCCGAATACCTCTTCGTGGGATCATACTCGAAGGTCTTGGGGATCGGTTCGTCGAGCCCGTAGAATTGGACGGGGAGGATACGTTTGCGTACCACACCTCGGTGGTGCGTCCGAACCGTCAGTTCCTGACCAACATAACACCCTTTCTTATAATCGATCCCACCCATCCAATCGATATTACTTTCCTGAGGAAGCGCACTCTCCCGAAAAAGCTCTTCCTGTCCCTCCGGCACACCATGTAAATACCGTCTCAACCTATAAACCTCCTCCCCGACCTCCTCCCCCAGCTCACCCACAGGTTTCTCCCCTCCCCTAACCACCACCCTGCT